TCCAATTTCTTTTTCTCCATTTATTGTTTTAACCTGCTTACTTATAGCCCTAGCCATGGTTCCAATGAATAAAAGAAATGCTTCTCATTATGTAAAGCACCTACACAGTACATTATCCATTAAAGATAAGGTGGCTTTGAAGACACTGTTGGTTGTCATGAGCTCAGTCTCATGATGCAGGAGAATATACTTTATTATTATGCTAATATCAACACTACAGCTTATTTGCCTATCACAATTGATCTAGTATGACATAATAAACAATATAAATAACATAAAACATGTTAAATACTCCAGAATGAATAATATTTGGCATAACACCGAGCAGTTCGACAGAGTTATGAAGAGGATATGGTAAACAAATACCATTCTCCTATCCTTGTCTTGGTGGCTTATATTAGAGAAAACTGAGTATAGCACAGGGCTAACTATGATATACACTCATACTCCACCATAAACATGAAACAAAAAAGTTATTTTCTCTCTATAGATTATCACACATAGCAGCGTGTGTGTAGAGAACCTAGGATAACCCAAAAAAGTCAACGTGGCTTATTTTTAGTACCTGGCTTGGGTTAGCCATATATGATTTTTGGTAAATATTCGATTCCTAGCCATGGTAGAAACATTAGGCGTGTTCCTTTACACCTGTTGTCTATGTTTATCCATCATAAATGGGTACTTGGGTGTTAGCCGACTAGTGTGGGTGTTATCCTGGGACACTGACCTAATTTTCTTGAAATACTCAGCATAACAAGTGCCTTTCTATACAGTAGTATATCACTGATGTCAGCTAGGCCTGTATACCTTGTACATGTACGTGTAGTAAATAAAGATATTATTATTATTATTTGCTCAGTTGTTTGTTGGGTTATCTTATTCAAACTTGGGCAATGTATGATGGAAAGATACTTCTTCACATACACCAAAAATGAAAGAAATCAAACCATAAATAGCAGAGTTCACTTCTCAGCCATTAGCGGCCGCTTAGCGGTATATTTTTGTATGGTGGTTGTGGTTATATTCTCATTTTTTCGGTCTCATTTGATAGAATGAAAGATATATTACAGAAATAGATGTGATTTTGATTGCTTTCATGACAAAAAGCACCTTGAAATTGCACTCACAGTAGCAAAAGTGTTCTATTCTTTAGCGAAGCTCAAGAGTAAACAAATGACGTCACCGTCCAATACCTGTCTGCCTGCCAGTCCAAATTCCAGTATGGAGTCAAGAATAGATTGACATTATTTATACAATTATTATAATAATGCAGTAGTCTGCATAACAGTAAATCTTTTATTTTTTTTTGTGAATAAAAATTCCAAATGGTAAGCAAGAGTAATATAAGAGGGGCATGTAGCCGTGACTAATGAACAGAGAAAATGTTATTTTAGTGCCAGGAATGTCTGCATTGTTTATTCTGGACCCTATTTTGAAATTGGCATCTGTTGAAATTTGTGTTAAATCGGCCAAATTGCCAATTTCTGACCACTTTATTGGGAAGTTGAAATAAGTGAATGGGCGGTTTCTTGTACTCAGTTGACAGACTAGAAGTAAATAAGTTTATTCAGGTATACACAAATACAGTTACATAGATTATCATACATAGCAGTGTATGTATAGAGAACCTGGGATAACCCAGAAAAGTCAGTGACTTATTTCCAGTACCTGGCTTGGGCTTGCCATATATGATTTTTGGTAAATATTTTTTTTCTCGGTTGTTTGTTGGGCTATCTCATTGAAACTTGGGCAATGTATGATGGAAAGATGCTTCTTAATGTACAACAAAAATGAAAGACGGATGATAAATAAGAGAGTTCACTACTCAGCCATTAGCCGCCTCTTTGCAGTATATTTTTGTATGGTTCTTATGGTTGTATTCTCATTTTTTGGACTCATTTGATAGAATGGAAGATATATTACAGAAATAGACATGATTTTGATTGCTTTCATGACGAAAAGTACCTTGAAATTGAGCTCAAAGTAGCGGAAATGTTCGATTTTTGCCAATGTTCAATGAACTGTGTAAGTCAAGTTGGTTAATTTTATTAAGTGTATTCTAACCTAACCACTCTGTAATTCGGCAAACTCAGTAATCTGGCACACTACAGGTCCCAATGATGCCGGATTTGTGATGGAGGACCTGTACCACAGACTTCTTCTGCATACCAGAACTGCATTTTTTAATCTACTTCTTCCTCATTACCTGTACACTCTCTAACTCAATATCTTTCAGTAATTGCATATGCTACTCTTTTTTTATTTAATTTACTTTCACTTCTCTTTTACAAAATGGTATTATTCTCCTACTTTGCCTCTTCTTACTGTAGCTACATCAAAATAATGATCTGACATATCATTTGCTCCTCTAAAATCATGCACATCCAGAAGTTACCTGTCAACCTTTTATTCACTAATATATACCTGGTACTCGATTACACTGATGCCAGTGTGCCCTGTGTTCATATCTTGCATGCTATATTAATTTTGTATGTGTGTGCGCATGTGCGTGTGTGTATAAAATAAGTATTACCTGTTACTAAATCTTTCTATTCTCTCTACAACAGTGTCTCACACTTTAGCATTTAGGTCACCCACAACAGTTATTTTCTCTCATGGTTCAAAACTTCCTGAACATTTTTTAGAGATCTCCCAATATCTCTATCCTGTACACTCCTCTCACCCCCTTGTGCATGAACACACACTATAATCTACTTCTTCCATTATGCCTTTATACTAAACCACAATTCTTGAATTTAAACACACACACGCCCTTCTTTTTTTTATTAAGTTGGTCATTAAACCCTTTGACTGTTTTGGTCGTATATATACGTCTTACGAGCCAGTGTTTCGGACGTATATATACTCAATAATTCTAGCAGCTTCAAGTCAATCAGGAGAAAGCTGGTAGGCCCACATGTGAGAGAATGGGTCTGTATGGTCAGTGTGCACCACATAAAAAAAATCCTGCAGCATGCAGTGCATAATGAGGAAAAAAAAGACCGTTTTTTTGGATTAAAACACCGACTTTGAGGTGCATTTTCGTTTAGTATTTATCGTTGTATTCTCGTTTTCATGGTCATGTGTGATAAAATGGAAAACATATTGCAGAAATAGAGATGATTTTGATTAGTTTCACGATGAAAATGACCTTGAAATTGAGCTCAAAATAGCGGAAATGTTCGATTTTTACCAGTGTTCAAGAGTAGGCAAGTCACACCACACATCCAATACATGTCAGCTGGGGAGTCTAATATTCTTTCACTAGTGCACTGATATTATACCATTTTTACAATAATGCAGTAGTCTGCATAACAGTAAATTTTGTATTTTTTGTATGAATAAGCAATCAAAATAGAAAGCAATAGTAATATAAGAGGGGCCTAGAGTCGTGACTAATGAACAGAGGATATGTTGTTTTAGTGCCAAGAATGTCTACATTGTTTATTCTGGACCCTGTTTTGAAATTGGCATCTTTTTTAATTTGCGTGAAATTGGCCAAATTGCCAATTTCTGACCACTTTATTGGGTAGTTCAAATTGGTAAATGGGCGGTTACTTGTACTCAATTGACAGAAAAATTGGAGTTCTGAAGAAATAGCTATGAGTTTGGTCAACTGGAACAATGGAATTGGCCAAAAACAGGGCTTAAATTCGGTGAAATCGCCAATCCGTATATGTCGCCGAGACCGCTAACTTCGCGGGAGCGTAATTCCGTGACTTTTCGACCAAATTTCATTCTTTTGGTGTCATTACCATTGGGAAAAGATTATCATTTCATAAGAAAATTTTTTTTTTTTTCCAAAAATTTTGCGACAGAATGACAGTTTCAGAAAGGGGTTTGACAGTCAAAGGGTTACTGCCACTTCTTTTGGATACACCCAATTACTTTCCCCAGTGAAACTCTCCCACCCCTTTTAATTTTGTTTTGCTTTGTGCTAGGGCATATAGCTTTCTTTCATTCATAACTTTAACAATAAATTATTCTTATCTGTATTGCATACATAAATTTTTCAGCACCTTGACTTTAAAATTTCATTATTTGTCTTTTTGGTAATTGATATAGAAGAAACAGATTACTAGTGTCTTGCTCCTGGCATTTTAGTTGCCTCTTAGAACACTTGGCCACTGGAGGAAGGAGTCTAACCCACTTCCCAGTGGAATTTAAAATGACAAGAGCTATGTACGTAATATATATGGTGTATGTATATATGTATTGTACAAGACAATTTAGGTAATGGTGAGGCCTTAAACAGCTATAGAGGGCCCAGCAGGCTGAGACCTCCAATAATTTATGGACTGAGCAATGAGTGTATGTAATACTTTATTTATTGTACTAGGAAACAAACATAAGAAGCTAGGGCATTAAAGAGGAATAACACAAGACAAAGAGAAACCAGTTTAGTATTTCTTTCAACATTAGGTATAAATGAAATGCTGATACTGTGTATTGATTCCTTGATAACAATGAACCTTCATACAACCGACTTTAAATAATGTGCAAAATTCACAAAGTAAATTGTACTTTTAACTCCTTTATTTTCAGTGTTTATTGCAGTATGTCTGTAAAGTGTTTTGTACATTTGAGTACTTAAGTGCTATATTTCACTATTTTTAATATTATCCTGATCTAATGGACACTATGATGATTCCCCCCCTTAATCCATTATATTGACAGTTTACTATATAGCAAAGGTAAGTGTAGAGACACACTATTAACATTGAGATTAAATATATAGCCCAGAGTTCCAGATCTGGGTAAAGAAAAAATGATGTAAATAAAGCAGTTTTAGCAGTCTGAGTAAATATTGGTAACAAACTCAGCCAAATGGTGCACAGTTGTAAATGAAATTTTAAGAAATGGTAGTATTTCAGCCATCCTGTTGTTTCCCTTCACTTTTGTGCCTATGCCTTCAGGCATTCTTGTTTCACTTCACTCTTGTACTGTTATCTTGCAGCATTTTAAGTACCATTAGAAATAAATTACTTGTTCTCTTCTAGATACATCCTTTGAGTCTGGTGTGTCCGATGATTATGCAATCCCACCAGATGCCCGAAGTGACACTGGATCTCTTGAGTCAACAATGGCACCCACGATGAGTGCCAGGACATCGTGTATTGAGACTACGACCAACACACTCACCTCCAGCCAGTAAGTATCTTATGAATTTTGTAAAGCCAGTGATACATGCTCTCTACTGGTGTGTTTTGTTTATCTTGAAGTATAAGTCAAACATTTAGTTTCCCACACATTATGCAGTTTTGTTTTATGCAATGTCCCATTTCTATTGGGGATTCCATATATGTGATATACATTTGCCATATGTAATCATTGCAGTAGGTAAGTGTATTAATGATTCTTACTGCTGTATATGAAATTAAAGTGTTGGTGGCTTGGTTGAGGTTAGTACAGCTGTTAGGAGCCTGGAATACAGCCACTGCATAAGGCAAAGGACACCTGGACAGAAATATAACCTTTTCAATCTGTCTATAAGTACAGTATATTATAGGCTATGCTTTTGAGTTGCTTATAGTAACTAAACATTTATTGTATAATTATATAATAGGGAAGATGTTAAATGGGGAGGTGGAAGCATTAGGAAGATGGACAAAATATTTTGAGGAGCTGCTAAATATTGATGAAGACAGGAAGACAGTGATTTCATTCATTGGCCAGGGAAGTATAGCATCTTGTAGGGGTGAGAAAGAGCCAGAGGTGAATGTGGGAGAAGTATGTGAGGCTGTGGATATAATGAAAGATGGTAAGGTAGCTAGGATAGACGAGACGAAGACATGTTAAAAGAAGGGGGGGATATAATTCTAGAATGGTTAGTATACATTATTTATTCAGTACATGCATGAAAGAAGGAAAGGTACCATAGGACTAGCAGAAAGCATGAGTAGTTTCTTTATATATACAATTGAGAATCCTTTATCCAAAATCCAAAAGTCTCCAAAATTCAAAAATTTTTTGAGTGTTAACATGACACACCACAAATGGATCATTCAGTTTGTTGTCAGTAACAATTACTCACTGATTACCATGTGTTTTGCACTCTGTGAAGATCTTGTTGAAAAGGCCCGTGGACAATAGTGAAAAGAAGAATCGGCAGCTTTTGTGTTTTTCTATATCGCAGAAAGTCAAGCTGTTGGAAAAACTTGACAGCAGTGTAAGTGTGAAGCATCTGATTGAGGAAACATAAACACATATGCAGTTTAATGTGATCCTTTATTGACAACATTTCATCCACACAGTGGGCTTTTTCAAGTCACACACAGATCTACCTGGGGTGGAAGATGCTGTGGAAGATGCTGTAGCATCGTCTGCTGCTGCTGTAGCATCGTCTGTTGCTGCTGTAGCATCGTCTGCTGCTGCTGTAGCATCGTCTGTTGCTGCTGTAGCATCGTCTGTTGCTGCTGTACCACCGTCAGCTGCTGCTGCTGCTGTAGCACCATTGTTGGTGTGGCTTATTGAGAATACCAAGAAACAATTAACCCCAGAGGATTTGCCACCCAGGATAACCCAAAAAAGTCAGTGTCATCGAAGACTGTAACTTATTTCCATTGGGGTCCTTAATCTTGTCTCCCAGGATGCAACCCACACCAGTCGACTAACACCCAGGTGAACAGGGAAAAACGCCTGGAACTAGTGCTCATATTGGTGAATTTAAAGCCAGCAAAGGTTGGTTTGAGAGATTTAAGAATCGTAGTGGCATACACAGTGTGATAAGGCCTGTTCTGGAAGAAAATGCCAAACAGGACCTACAGTACTCAGGAGGAAAAGGCACTCCCAGGACACAGTGTCTCATCAGTCATTGCTGCATCTTCAATAAAGGTAAGTGTCATTTATTCTTCATTTAGTAGAGTAGTACATGCACAATATATATTGTGCATGTACTACTCTACTATTGTGCATGTATCCTTCTCTGTGTGTGTAGGAAAATGTATATTTCATGTGGTAAAAATTTTTTTTTCATACTTTTGGGTGTCTTGCACGGATTAATTTGATTTCCATTATTTCTTATGGGGAAAATTCATTCGCATACCGAACATTTCGCATAACAACCAGCCCTCTTGCACGGATTAAGGTCGCTATGCGGGGGTCCACTGTACTCCCATACCTTCCACCCCAGGTAGATCTGTGTGTGACTTGAAAAAGGCTACTGTGTGGGCGAAATGTTGTCAATAAAGGATCACATTAAACTGCATATGTGTTTGTTTCCATTGTGTCGGTATTTTATACCATTTATTTTCATCTGACTGAGGAGTTTGGTGTTGGAACAACCACCATCTACCACCTAAAGAAACAGAAGGACAAACTGTTGAAGTTCTATGCTGAAAGTCATGAACAGAAGTTAATGAAAAATAGAAAACATTGCATAGAGGGAAAAATGAAGATCTCGATCATGTATAGAGTGGATTCATCAGAGTTGGAGTGAGCTTATGCCATTTAATGGAATGTTGATCGTGAAACAAGCAAAAATCTATCGTGATGAACTGAATATTGAAGGTAACTGTGAATATTCAGTAGGCTAGTTACAAAAATTTAAGAAAAGGCATGGCATTAAATATTTCAAAATTAGTAGTGATAAGGCATCTGCTGATCACATAGCCTAAAACGAGTTAAATGTGTAACAGTGCTAAAAATCATGCCAGGATACAGGCAACTATTTCTAGATCTGCTAAATCCCAATCCTGAGCTGAAAAGATTCTTACATCCAGAATTGTCAGCAATTTTTTTTTTTTTTTTGCAAAGTTAACTTAAATGGTCAGCTACTCATAATTAACAATGTTCAGGCTGCAATTGAACATTTGCAGGACACTTTTATCACCAGTGGCAGCTCATCCATAGCTGCAGAGCTGCAATCCCCCTAGATGCTCACTACCAGATGTATGACTTCATCAACCTTACGCTAAAATAATTTGCAACTGACAAATATGTACAGGAAAAATCTGTTGTATGTTGTTTTCAGTGTATATACAAGTGAATTTTTTTTTTTGCTGGAACGAGATAAAAAATGATTAAAAATAGAAGTTTGATGCAGTATGATAGTATGGGTATTACTGGCATTACGAGCTGCCACTGCTTATCACTAATGTAAGTCATGTTCAGTAGGTGAACTGGACCTGACTTGCCGTGTTTTCTTTTGACTCACTGTCTCGATGTTTGTCTATGGCTAGGACTGCATATTGATTTGTGATGTTTTTTCATGCATTTTAAAAATATTTCATGTTTATATTTTTAAGTTATTGATTTTGCTTATTTAATATGAGTACAGTTATACTCCAACACAAAAAAAACAAACCTACTGTGTGTATTACTACTGTATCTTACCGTATACCTGTTGTATCATTATTTGAACCTCTTTTAACATACCACAATTTTACTTTTGCTTTTTATATCTGATAATGTTTCCTTAATTAATATCATGATCATTTGAAGTGAGTAAAAATATTATAAGTGGGTGGTTTGATGGTAAACAGGCGAATTAGCCTACTGATAGCTACTGATACTACCCATAGTCCATCCAACTCCATCACCTGGTTTATCTTAACCTACTGCTGCTAAGCACCAACAAATTTTTATGATTATTTTTGTATTCATCATTATATACAAAGTACGTAATTTACACAATTCATTGTTAGGTCATATACAGGAGCTTAGATTACTGTTTAGTGTTGAAATGCTTCACTGGGCTTAGGTTGAGGCCTATGAGTAACATAACTTTCAGCCTCCAAGACTCTGGGTAAATTTTCTAGATTTATTGTGGGAAAAAATAGCTTCTTCAATGCAGTAAAGTATGGTATCTTCTTTTTGTAAGCATTTAGTATGTTTTGTTTGGTATAGCACTTGTATGGTACAGTGCTGTGTTTAGACTTGGGTCCCATCCCCAAGCTGTCCCATTTTATAGATGGTGATGTACAAATATTCCAAAATCCAAAATCCGAAACATTTCTGGTCCTAAGCATTTTGGATAAAGGATTCTCAACAGTAACGGCAAAGATGATGAGTGAATGTAAGAACTATAGGGAAATAAGCCTGTTGAGTATGGTAGAATTGTTATTGAAAAAGTTGAAAGACAGACAGTAGGATTGCTGAGAAACATGGAAAATTTAGGATGGGTAGATGATATGTAGATTAAGTGTTTATATTGAAGTATGTAAGTGAACAGTACTTACATGAAGGTAAGGTACTGTTTGTCATATTTATGGATTTAGGAAAGGCATATGATAGGATGGATAGGAAAACAATGAGGCAGCAATATGCCTAAGAGATAATGTCTAGCATATGGTATAATGCCTTTACATTTTTGTCTTGAGTTTTGCTTAAAATTCAAAGGAATTAAATTATAGAGTTAATGCTAGCTAATAATATAGTGTAAAGTACATTAAAAAATTAAAGTACAGTAGTAATAATGAATATATAATGGGTTTGCAGATGACTTGAGGAGAGAGAATATTTTGTATGATTTAATGTGAAGCACAAATATTACAGAAATTGATGTAAAGCATGTATAACTTGTAAGCTGCAGAATCTGTATTATAAGGTGGGTTTAATCCTGGGCTTCTCAGAATGTATGATCAAGTGATCTACATGTGTTGCCTTTATTCACCTAGCAGTAAATCAGTACCTGGGTGTTACAGTTGAACCCTGAAATTCACATGGGTGAAGTTCCTCTTGGTCTTTACTACTGTACCACTAAATTCTGCCCATATAATAATTTTTTTTTCATTTTCAAATTTAACCCTTTGACTGTTTTGGTACGTCTTACGAACCAGTGTTTCAGATATATTAATACACACAAATTCTAGCGGCTTCAAATCAACCAGGAGAAAGCTGGTAGGCCCACATGTGAGAGAATGGGTCTGTGTGGTCAGTGTGCACCACAAAAAAATCCTGGAGCATGCAGTGCATAATGAGAAAAAAAAATGCTGACCGTTTTTCTGGATTAAAATGCCGAATTTGAGGTGTATTTTCGTATAGTATTTATCATTGTATTCTCGTTTTCATGGTCTCACGTGATAAAATGGAAAACATATTACAGAAATAGAGATGATTTTGATTAGTTTCACGATGAAAGCAACCTTGAAATTGAGCTCAAAGTAGCGGAAATGTTTGATTTTTCCAATGTTCAAGAGCAAGCAAATCAC